AAAAAAAAAAAAAAAAAAGTATCATCTCACGTGGTACATTCTCAAGCTAGTTGTTCGGTTATACTTTTTTTTTTTATAGTTTGGTCAAATACTAAGCTAATTGTTCTCGGTTAATACTAATCAATTTTTATACTTTTTTTTTTATAGCCGATTACTAACACTAAACTAAGCATATGAGGCTGATCGATCAAATTAAAAGTTCAAAAAAGTGATTGCAACACTTTACAAAGTTTAGTAGCTCGTAGATTAACTTAATGGCGTGATTAATAGAATAGAGAATGTATGCGAGGGTCTCGTAAATAATTAAATAAAATTTTAGTATTATAATATTGAAATTTAATAATGAATTTATTATAAATTTGATGTAATTTAATTTTTGAGGGAAAGAAGAAGAGAAGGCAACATAAAAGATGAAGCGATAATCAAAATTTAGTGCAAATTGGGATGTGTCCTGGTTGACTCGCCAAGAGACATCACTGAATCCGCTCTTCCTCCATACGATCATCTTCTCCGCCTTCTTCTTCTTCGATTCTCCCTTCAATTCCCTTCAAATGTCTCTCTATTTCAATGGGTTCTCCTCAAAATCCATGACAAAATCCTAATCCTCTCATAATCACATCCATTTCCCTCTCTTCCTCGTTTCCAATCCAATCCAATCCAAAACCCTAAAAATGCCCACCACTGCTGCCACCGCCGCCACCGCCGCTGCCGCTGCGATCGTCTTCCTGTTCATCATCGCCACCGCCTCCTCCGCTCCGATCCTCGGCCTCGATTCATTTCTCGCTCAGCAATCTCGCTTCGACCCACATGCCTCCAACGACACATTTCTCTCCCTCTCATCGTCTCTCAAGAAATCCCTCTCTGTTTCTTCTTCTCCTCCTCCTCTCATTCCTTCTTTTATCTCCTCTCTCCTCTCCCTCTCCCTCTCTTTCTCTCTCCATGTTCGTCTTGTCGGCGATTTCCCTTCCGATTCATCGACCCATCTCTCCTCTTTCCTCTCTGCCTCTCTCCCTTCTGACCATTTCCATGTAATTACTCCTTTTGATTCGTATCAACACCGTCTTGCCCTTAAGCATTCCCTTCATCTCGACGTATCTCATGCCTCCTCTCTTGCTACCCATCTCTCTGAGATCTTGAAATCTGTAATTGCCAGCACTACTTCTAGCCTCCGATCTTCGCTTCTTGCTGTATCCTATGATTCTGTGGATCGTCTCATAAAGCAGGATTTCGAGAAGGAGAAATCCGGCCAAGGGGTTTATATATATTTGCTTAATTTGGGCTCCCAAGACAAGCCGTATGCTTACAAATATGGTGAAGGGGATTCTTCCCCTGCTTTTACCAAGTGTTTGGGAAGCATTTGGAGTGGTGCCGAAAGGTATTTATGGGTTGATTTGGGTGCAGGGCCTGTTGATTATGGACCATCTCTGTCTGGAGATGGGGTTCTTCCTAGAGGAGAGTTCCATCCTTTGACGACTTTGCACGGCCGGCCGAAGTCCCAGAAGGCGCTGCTGGCGGATTTGGCTTCGTTGGTTTGGAGTGCTTACCAGGTTCATTTAGTTCCTTCTATGAGAATTCCTATTCCTTTTGAGAGTTCATTGGTTGTTCAATTTGTACACATTTATGGGTCTGAGAGTAATGATGGAGATGAGTTGGATTGGAAGTCTATTGAGAGAACCTTGAATGATGCTGGGTTGTTGTTGGGTGAGCAGTCTTTGAGATTTAAGTCTCATAGGGTAAGCTATGCTAAGTGCCCCATTTGTGCGTTTGCAATATCTCGGTCCACCAATTCGTTTACTTCCCGGTTTTTGTTTGATAACTATACTTTGATTGTGAATGAGTATTTGGATTCTAAGCGATTGCATCAGATTCTGTCTGATTCTGCTGAGGAGTTCAGAAGGGCTGGATTCCCCGAGGATGTGGATATGGCCAGAGTTATTCCCGTTTATGTATTTGATTTGAACTTGAACTCAATCTTGTTGCTTGATCGTTACCATCAATCTGTAGCATTTAATGACATGGTTATTGCTGTAAGGACAAGGAATACACAGACTGTGAGTGATTATAGCTGTAATGGCCGCCATGTATTTACACATACAAGGAATCTTGAGAGGCCACTAGTTGGTTCGATTTTACAGAGTATGTGGGGAGTTTCACCTACCCATTTAGCTTGGAGCTCGAGGCACAACGATACCATAGTCGATTACTCGTGGAGCATCGGGCAAACTCCTTTCGGTCCATTCTCAGAGGTTTCCTCCTTATCTTTTGTTCAGAAGGATGCAGCGAAGAGAAACGTTATCTTGACATCATTGAATAATAGTATCACTAGTGCAATTGATGTTCTTAACTCTGTAGCTGCACATGGGGGTGATAGAAATCTGCTAAAATCGAAGCAACGAACGGAGTTCATACAACGCTGGAACCTTTTCAAATACAAGCTGGACAAAGTGGTGTCTGCAATGTCGCATTTCGACTTTGAGATGGCTTTGCACTACATAAGATCTTCAGATCATGACCTGTACACGCTTCACTCCATCGTCTACAATGCATCTCAAGAACTTGAGGCATCGTTGGTTTGCTTTAAAGACCCTCCATTTCCATGGGGTTCTGTGTCTGTATCTGTAGGAGTTTTCTTTGCTTTCTTGTATGTTTACACAAAGAGAGATAGACTTTTCAAGAGCAAAAGAAAGCAATTTTGATGCTCATTAATGGGTTGCAGGGTATGTATTATCCAACGGCATCTCATATATGTAATTTCATTGCAGAGATAGATGGAAGCGTTAGGATGTTGCATTCGATCGTATGAAACCGGGTACTTTTTTTTATATTTGGCAATATACTTGAGTTCTGGATTGTTACTTTTCTATGTTTCTGCAACATTTGAGATTCATGCTGTAGTTGTTTGCTTTAGAACAGAGCTGAATAAAGCAAGAAGTAATTGATTCATTTGTGTCCACAGTAGACAGAATCGAGTTCTTACTTTCATATTAACATGTTAAATATGATGGTATGAACAAAGTACACACAAAATCAAGCTCTTTTTCAGGGTGCTTTGAAGCGATGAAATGAGCCATTTAAGAACGAATGAAGATCACTTTCTTGCAGCTCTTTGTCGGAGCTGCAAACAAACGTTTCATCTGTAAGTCTATCACAGAAGACATCTCCAAATTCATCAAACACATTGTCAAGCACAGCTCGAGTCTTCGCCTCTTCTCCATTATCAGCCTCATCCACCGAAAGGTTGGAGTTGGTCTCGACGAGTTTCTTGAAAAATGAAGATCGAAGAAGGAGGTTGAGAGCTGATGGAGAAGATTTAACATAACTGTTGAGAGGAATGCTGCAGCTTTTATGAAGAAGCTCTTGCTTTTGAAGAGAATGGAAGGAATTGTCGTGGTAGTGATGGTTTTGGAAAAGGGAAGTTTCTTCTGCTGGGATGATGGAGCTGGAGTTGCAGAGCTCCTTGAGAGGGTCTGATGTCATATGGGATTCGTTCGGGGTCGCGACGGGTGGCAGCGGAGGTTTCAGCCAGGCCATGTAATTGCTCCAGTCGAAGTTGGTAACTGCATTGATCCCTCGGTATTCAATGGCGGCCATATCGTAAGCTCGAGCAGCTTCCTCTTGAGTGCCTGTGGTGGAAGATCAAACAAACCTGTGAGTATAAGTCAAATTTAATTGTTAACTAACAACTAAGTGTTTAGAATTAGTGAGACCATAAGTTCCAAGGTAGAGGTACTTGTTCCCATAAACTCTCCCAATTCTTGCTTCCCATCTTCCATTGTGATGGTGCCTGCAAACACCCAGATTTCCTTTTGGTGTCTTAAAAACATTCAAGAAGTTCATCACAGCACAAAAATCAACAAGAACTTCACCTTGCCACTCCTCTATATTTTGACACACCTCTTGAGAATCCACTGCTTTTCCTGAAACAATACAATTTAAGTTAGAACAAAGCCAATTTGATGAACACAGTTAAGATGTTTGATGAATCCAGACCTTCTTAAAGAGGCCAAATACTCCTCCTTTGTCATTGTCTGCATCATCTCAATCTCCTTCTC